TAGGGCTGTTGTACTTAGGGTCTCTATGAGTCGCAGGCGACTCTACGGCACATAACAACAACAGCAACAACAACCTCTAGGATTGCAGTATAGCTTCTTGCCAGTAGGCCACCCGAGCTCCTTTCAAGGAGTTCTTTCACATGCTTGTAGAGAAGCCTCAGAAACTTGCTGGAAGCCTCTGTGAGTTGGAATTGATTTGATTTGGTTCTGCCTTAAGGGCTATTATTGTTTTAGCCCCACGATAAAGTGAGATTGGTTCTTTGAATTTTTGGATACTCATGTCTCAGTTCTAGAAATGTTTTTGTTTTCTTGATCCCCCGCCCCAGTTTCTAAAAGTCCAATTATTGGACACTTGGGATATCCATAAAATTGCTCTCTTACATGTCCTGTTATTTTATTTGTCTATTTTCTGTGTTTTTGTTATGTTTATAGAAGAGTTCCTTACTTTTTTCAATTTTCTTAATTTTAGTTTTGATAATTCCTTTTTGTATTATAACTCTGCATGTATTTGTTTCATAGATGAATTGGCTAATTTTATGTTTCTTCATAGTTTATTCCTTCCAAGCTGTTTCTCCCCCTCTTTGTTTCAAGATTTTCTTTATAGTAGTTTTTATTTGTTGTTATGTGCCATCGAGTCGCTTGCGACTCATAGCGACCCTATGTACAAGAGCCCTAAGTGCCGTTCTGTACTATGCCAATCTCGCCGTCTCAAACACACTCATTCCCACCACTCCACTCAGAATTAATCCATCTCATTGAGGGTCGTCCTCTCCTGCACCATCCCTCCATTCTCTTAAACATGATGTCCCTCTCCAAGGACTAGCCCCTCCTTGCAGCATGCCCAAAGCATGTCAGATGAAGCTTCAGAATCCTTGACTCCAAGGAGCATTCCGACTTCACTCTCTCCAGGACAAACCTGTTTGTTCTCCTAGCAGACCATGGTATATTCAACACTCTTCTCCAGCACCACAGCTCAAAGGCATCAATTCTCTTTTTATCATCCTTATTCACTGTCCAACTCTCCAATGCATAGCATGTAATTGCAAAGACTATAGCCTGAATCAGGCACACGTTAGTCTCCAGCCTGATGTCGTTGCTCTTCAGCACTCTTGAGAGGTCCCTCACAGCTGACTTTCCTAATGCAATTCGTCTCCTGATTTCCTGGGGCCCAACAGAGTGTGGAAATCATTGAATAATATCATTGATATCACATGCAAGCAAGATTCTGCTGAAAATTAACCAAAAACCTTTGGAACAATATGTCAGCAGAGAACTGCCAGATGTGTAGGCTGGATTTAGAAGAGGTCGTGGTACTAGGGATATTATAGCTAATGTTAGATGGATCTTGGCAGAAAGCAGAGAATATCAGAAGAATGTCTATCTGTGCTTCATTGACTATGCAGACTTTTGACTGTGTGGATCACAAGCAGCTATGGCTGACTCTGAGAAGAATGGGAATCCCAGAACATTCGATTGTGCTAATGCGAAACCTATACTTGGACCAAGAGGCAATCATCAGAACAGAGCAGGGAGACACTGGATGGTTCAAAATCAAGAAAGGGGTCCATCAGGGATGTATTTTGTCTCCATACCTTTTCAATCTGTATGCAGAACAGATCATCCCAGATCCTGGGCTGTACGAGGAGGAACGTGGCATCAAGATTGGTGGAAGAATCATCAACAACCTGCCTTATGCAGATGACACAACGCTGCTTGCTGAAACTGAGGAGGACCTGAAGCACTTGCCAGAAAGTCAAGGACTGTAGTCTTCAATATGAATTAAAGCTCAATATCAAGAAAACAAAGATTATCACCACTGGGCCTTTGGTAGCATCAGTATGGATGGTGAAGAGATTGAGATAGTTAACAACAACAACAACAACAACAGTTTTTGTTTATATTTCCAATATTAAAAATTCACTCTCTACAAACTGTTGCTGTTATGTGCCATTGAGTTGCTTGTGACTCATAATAACCCTGTGTACAGCAGTGCTAAACCCTGTTTTATCCTGTGCCAATTGCACTGTCTCTGATACACCCATCCCGATTACCCCAGTTACTGAATCAGTCCACCTCATAGAGGGTCTTCCCCTTCTGTGCTGTCCATCCATCCTCCCAAGTATGATGTCCGTCTCCAAGGACCGGTCCCCTCCTTGCAACATGTCCAAAGTATGTCAGATGAAGCCTCAGAATCCTTGCCTCCAAGGAACAGCTTGGTTTAATCCTCTCCAGGATGAATCTGTTTGTTTTCTTGGCAGTCCATGATACCCTCAATACTCTTCTCGAGCACCACAGCTCAACGGCATCAATTCTCCTTCTGTCCTCCCTAGTCATTGTCCAACTCTCTGATGTACAACCAGTGATTGCAAAGACCATAGCCTGTATAAGATGTACCTTTGTCTCCAGAGAGACACCATTGCTCTTCAGCACTTTGGAGAGGTCCCTAACAGCTGCTTTTAATTTCCTGGCTGCTGGAACCAAGAGTGTTGAATGTGGAGTCAAGCAAACTCTGCAAACTACTTAAAAGTAATGTATTTTCAGTGATGGGTGTGTTTGTAGATAATGACTGTGACTGAATACCTGTGCCTGTGTTTAGGTCCCTTCTTAAGAAGCTTTGGTGGTGTAGTCATGTCTCTGGCTGATCAAATATATCAGCTGCTGCTAAGCTATTTATTGTCCTAAGCTATTTACAGCTTAGAAAACTTGCTGGAGGGTCAGCTGTGAATCATTCTTATGCTATGACATGGAGTTGAGTTCCTTGTTGTCTGGAATTTGTCAGATTCCTTAGATTAGAAAAGAGTTTTTCCATCTTTATTTTATGGAAGCATGGATATGACTGTTAGCTGTTGGAACCTCTGAATACAGTGGTTTTGGGCGGAGGGAGTAGGTTGTAACAAGTAGGTATATGCTGCTTTCTAAGTGTCCTGCTGCATTGTTGTCAGTGTAAAGCTTCTACCCTTAGTTGCCACACCAAAGACTTTTTTACTTTAACCCTTCTGTAGGTTTCAATCTCTAGGCCTTAGGATATGGGTACAGGACAGTCTAGGCACGAGTAATTAGAATGGCAGTTGGGGATTGTATCAACTTTTGGAGCCCCATTTTTTATCCCTAGCTCTCATGATATTAACAGTCCCTGAGTCCTGGAGATTCTGTTGTTGGGTTGAACCTTTGGCTTTTCTTTCCCCATTTCCAACTTAGACTTGAGATTTTAAGAGTTCCATTTGTCCTTTGTACATTTCAAATGTTCTATTTATTATTAATATTTTTCTTCATTTTTTTTTATAGTTTTGTTTACTTCTAAGTGAATCTTGGGAGTAAAGAGAAATATTTGTAGTTAAATCTACATATTTAACTGTGTCAACTTTTTAAAATTATATCTGTATGTACTGCTCATTCTCATGATAGGATTATATCATACTAGTTTATTTTATGCTCAAACTATGATTTTTAAAATTTAAAACTTTTCCCTATAACTTAAAATGTATACATATTATTACATTGGACCCATATATTCTGGTTTACATCAAGTTAGAATTGAGAAAATTAAGTGCTCATAATAAAGTAAAAACTATGAACTTGAGTGCTGTGTATAGGGTCAACTCTGAATAAGTAAGAAGCTTCACTGCAGAGGCATGAAGTTCGAGTCCATCAGCTGCTCCAAGAAAGAAGGCGTCTCTCATGTGATTACCTGCTTCTGAAAAACCCCTGGAGGATTAGCTATGAGTTAGTTCCAAATCCGTGACACACAACAGCGATCAGTAGAATTACAGAATGGTGTTCTAGCTGGCGATCATACACAACCATACTTCATATCCTTCTGTTCTTCATGGACCAGGCTAGGTCAAAACCAACCCAGTAGTAACTAAGGCATCATTGGTGAGAGGTGAATGAATAATTGCATCTTAAATATTATTTAAATATTTAAAAGTCTCTTTCCCTTTCTTTTAGGTGCTTTGTAATGTGTTAAGGACATAGTATAAAGGAATGCTTTTTCCACGTTTTCATGAGTTATGGTGTCTGAAACATCAGTTCTGTCTTGTGGGGAAAGAACTGTAAGTAGATCTGAAGCAATGAATTGATTTTCCACTATTCTGTGCTTTTGCAAATTAAGTTATTGATAAGTTAAAGGAATGTGTAGTAGTTAAGTACCATTGAGTTAGAACTGATGCATAGCTGACCCTCCAGCAGGTTTTCAGAGGCTTTAAATCACAAGGGAGGAGATTGCCCATCTTTCTTTTGTGGAGCACCTAGTAGATTTGAACCATGTACTTTTGGGTTGGCAGTGAGATTCCTTATCCCACTGAGCCACCAGAGCGCCCTTATGGGAATGTAGTTGTCATAATTCATTCTATTACTCTTAAGTATACAAAAAAAAGGAAGGAATTAGGTTTTATATGTATAAGGAATTTTTGTGTAGTATTAGACTTCGTTTATATCATGAATTTTGCAAAATTTATTTTTTAATTTTTCAGGAGTGGCAGCACAAAAGGAGACCTGTATTAACAGAGTATTTTATCAAACGAAAAAGATTAGATAAGAACTGCAAGCCAACAGAATCAGCAAATAAGGATAGAAACTTGTTAGCTGCAAGACATGTTTCAAATGAATCAAAGTGTAGTAATGATAGAGTTCAGAAGAAAAAGATTTTCAAAAATTTTATCAAAACTGACACATCAATAATAACTCTTCCAGGAATAAGACAAGATCTGAAATAGAAAAGTAATTAAAAAGTTAACAAAAGAAATAAAATCTAAGTTAATGATTTTTTTAAATAAAAACTTCTAAAAATATCAAATTAAAGAAATCTTCAAATTTCTGTTGTCTAAAGTAAAACAAATATCGTTCAGCATTTTTGTCAGCTTTTCTATGTCCTAGGAATGGCAGAAACCTTACTTGAAGCAAATTTCTGTTGAAAATGTATACTAGAATCAGTTAAAGTAAGATTTTTAAGACTGTTTCTCTGAAATAATACTAGACATTCAGTATTTGTAACTTCCAGGAGACAAAAATCTTAAGAACTACTCAGAAAAGGAAGACCTTACTCAGGAATGATGTCCATTCAGCAGAAGTCAAAAGAAAAGTCCTCTAAAAGTATTAAAAAAAGTGAAGACAAGAATTTAGAAACTCAGATTCAAAGTTCTCAAAAGAATGTAGCCAAAAAATTAGGTCCAAAGGAAACTGTGCAATCACTCATTAAATCTTCCAGTGAAAAGAAAGCAAACCCACCTGAATCTGGAATACGCATGAGTACCAGGTCTGCAAAGGCAGCATCTGGTGATAAAACAGCTAAGTCTGCTGATAAAAATATGGTGACTGTGAAAAGACATTCACAGGAAGATTCTACAAAAAAGAAATTATCAGAGAAAAAGAAGAAAACAGCACATGAAACCTTGAAACCAAATGAACAGTGTAATCGGAGGTCACAAAGACTGCAACAGTTAACAGAAGTTTCAACAAGATCTTTACGCAGTAGATCTATTCAAGGTCAAGTTCAAGCAATCAAACAAAGTTTGCTGCCAGTAAGAAAAGAGCCCAGTAGCAATACTACTACTACTGCTACTACTACTAAAGTTAAAACAAATAAAAAACATGTGAAAAGGAAAGTACTGGAAATAAAATCTGGTTCCAAAGAGGATGAAAATTCAGGAATTAGTGAAGTAAATTCCCCCAAAGGAAAAAAGCGCAAAATAGAGCATCAGGCAGCTGGTACTTGTAGTTCTCAGTGCATTCAAGGGTCAGAAAAAGGTCTTCAGAAGACTTCTAGGAAAGAAGAAACAAAGCCTGTGCCTGCAACTTCTTCTGAGGGAAAAGTATCAAAAACAATTGCTTCAGTGGTGGTCCCTAAAAAGAATGAGAAAATTAAAAAGTCAGTTCGTACACAAGGGAATACTAGTGCAAACCCCCAAAAAAGTCCACAGCCGTCAGTGCCTGAACAGAGTGTGGATGATGAGCTGGAGCAAGCAGGAAAGAGCAAACGAGGTAGCATTCTCCAGCTGTGTGAAGAAATCGCTGGTGAAATTGAGTCTGATACTGTAGAGGTAAAAAGGGAATCTTCACAGGTGGAAAATACAGAGGAAGAGAAACCTACAGAAGTAAAATTGGAGGAGACTGATGGTGTAGGACAAATACTCCACCAGAAGGAGACAAATCAGGATGTGCAGTGTAATCGTTTTTTCCCTAGTAGGAAAACAAAGCCTGTGAAGTGTATACTAAATGGAATAAACAGTGCACCGAAGAAGAACTCCAATTGGACTAAAATAAAACTCTCCAAATTCAACTCTGTGCAGCAAAATAAATTGGATTCTCAAATTTCCCCCAAATTGGGCTTATTACGAACTAGTGTTTTACCACCAGCTTCAGAATTACATCATCCAGTGACTCAGAGTACATCTTTAGGGACAAAGCCACATGGTGATAAAAACATCATTTGCTGGCAGGAAAAAATGGAAGAAAATTCTGAAGAAGTTACAAGTAATGATAAAGTGGAAATTAACAGAGCCACAGAAAAGGCTCCTGCAAATTGTTTGGATAATCAGATAAAACTTTCTACGGAACTACCATTGTTGGATAATCAGATGAAACAATCTATTACATCAGCACCAGAGAAGGTAAGCCATTTTGTTATGCATAGTACAGGCAGGGAAGTACCTGGTAATAAGAAATGAGTGATTTCAGAATATGTGTTTTAAAATTAATCTGTAAGAAAAAAGAATGATTTCTTTCTTTTTTTGTAAAGAATGATTTCTTAACGTACCCTATTAAATAGAAATTTATTTGATCCAGTGATGTGTTGATAATCTGTTTCTACATTCACATTTTATATAAAACACAAACTTGTTGGTTCCATCTTCTTAATTTAGCTCACTATGCGATTTTCTTTTTCTACCAATTAAAATAAAGGAAAATAAATTCATTGTGAATAAAATCTAGAACTTACAGTTAAGCCTAGTTCTAACTAATACATTAAAATGAATTTCAGCTTGTGCAAATCAACTTCTTTACCTCCCAGACAAAAGTTTTGAAAGGTTGAGGGTTGGGGATCTTGCTCTGAGGGGTCCCATTTTTAGTTTGAGTTGTTTCGCAAAGCTGCATAGTGGGTAAATGAGATGTCTGAAAGATGTAAATAATTTATTCTTCCATCTAAGAATAAAATTGTTTTGGTCAACAGTATTAAGAGAAAATAAATGTAAAAACATGATAATTATATCTGGATGAACCTTTAATAATTATCTCAGGAAATGGTTTTGAAATATTATGAAAGCAATTTGAATGCATTACTTCCCAAATTAAAACATAGGAAGAACGCTAGTGCATAAAACCAATAAGCAGAAAGTAGATATGTATAGAAATTTGAAGCTCTTGTCAGTGAGAAATCTTGAGCTAGTAAGTTTCTGGTGACCCTCTGTTAAACTGAACTTCATGATGACCTTCTGTTTAACAGAGCAAAGTCCTGCTTGGTCTTGTACCATTCACACAGTCCTTGTTAGGCTTGAGCGCATTGTCGCAGCTGTTCTGTTAGTCCATCTGGCTGAGGATCTTCCTCTTCTTTGCTGACTCACTGCTTTACCAAGTATGATGTCCTCCTTCCCAAACTGATCCATCCTGACAACATGTACAAAGTATGTGTGTCTTAGCACCCTCCTTTCTAAGTGTCACCATCTCTCCTTTCAGGAGCATCCTGGCTGTACTACTTTCAAGACAGATTTATTTGTTTTTCTATCTATCAGCCCATGGTGTCTTTGGCAGCACTATAATTTAAGTGCCATCAATTCTTTAACCTCCTTATTCATTGTCTACCTTTTGTATGTGTGAAGTGCCTGGTCAGATGCACCTAAGTTCTCAAAGGGATGTATCTGCTTTTTAACACTTTAAAAAGAGATCTCTTATGGTAGATTTGTACACTGCGGTATGTTGTTTGATTTTTCAGTTGTAGCACATTGGACCTCCCATGGATGTTGATTGTGCATCTAGTGAAAATGAAATCCTTGACAACTTTAATCTTATCTCTGTTTATCATACATTGCTTATTGGTCCAGTTATGAGGATATTTGTTTTATGTTTAATTGCAGCTCATATTGAAGGCTGTTGTCTTTTATTTCATCACTCAGAGCTTTAGGTAGTACAAGGAAATTAGAATCTAGATTCTGTTATTCTCCACATCATATAGTCTGAACATTAGATGATTATCTGAGAAGAAATTTATCACGAGGAAAAAAACTCATAGCTGCCCCTCCAATGGGTTTTCAGAGTCAGTTAATCATATGGAAGGAGAATGTTTGTCTTTTCCTCTGGAGCAGCTGGCATTTTAACTAGATTTTAACAAATCTTAGTACTAGCTTGCCAAAGTTCCTTGTTGAGGACATAGGTTGTTGTTAGGTGTTGTTGAGTTGCCTGCAACTCATAGCAACTCTTGAGTACAACAGCCCCAAACACTGCTCTATTCTGTGCCAGTCTTACTGTCGCTGACACACCTACCCCCATTACCCTAGTCACTGAATCAATCCATCTCATCAAGGGTCTTCTTCTCTTGCGCTGTCTCTCCACCCTCCCAAGCATGACCTACCTCTCCAGGGACTGGTTCCTCCTTGCAACATGTCCAAAGTATATTAGACGAAACTTCAGAATCCTTGCCTTGAAGGAGCAAACTGGTTTCACCCTCTCTAGGTTGAACCTGTTTGTTCTCCTAGCAGTCCATGGTATATTTAATACTCTACTCTAGCACCACAGCTCAAAGACATCAATTGTCTGTCATCCCTATTCATTGTCCAGCTTTCTGATGCATAGCAAGTAGTTGTAAAGACTGTGGCCTGTATCAGGCACACCTTAGTCTCCAGACTGGCATTGTTGCTCTTCAGTTTTTTTGAGAGGTCCCTGACAGCAGACTTTCCCAATGCAATTAATCTTTTAAATTTCCTGGTTGTTAGTACCAAGAGTAGAAGTGGTAAATTTTAAGTTTACCATAAAAGGGAATGATGGGAATTGATGCTGAGATAATAGATTGTGTCAAGATGAATAACACATGTCTATAATTTACTCTTATGAAGTTTTTGAGTATGCTTAAATTTGTTGAAAGTATTAGCATTAAAACTCAAGAGTTGACAAGTAAATACTAACATTTTTAATCATGTGTTCAGAATTTTAGTTTGTGTTTGAAATCCAAGCTTGAAAATACTTCAGTGGAAAGTACAACTGCTGCTGCTGCTGCTCCAACTATGCTTAATCAAGTAAAAATTGATACAGAAGAGAGTACATGTCTAGGTAACACTTTGAAAATACTGTATGGATTTTAAACTGTTGAGGGATATTTTTGTCCATATAACAAGAAACTAAATTCTACTAGATAATGCCTGTTAATTCTTACCATTGCTTGTTTTTCAAATGCTCTTTCATTTGAGGAAACTTTGTTCTGTTGATTGACTTTTCCTTCTTGCCAAAAGTTAGTTTTTAATTTTTGTTTGTGACTTATTTTTCCAAGAATTGTTACTTAATGAGTTAATGGTAGCAGTAGATTTTGTGACTTCTAAGTGACCATGCTTTATATTACTTCAGATTTAGTGTGTTAAGTAATTCTCAGAATTTATCTCTTAAGTCTCTAATAATTGCTTTTGTATACTGTGGAGTCAGAACCAACTCATAACTGACCCTCCATCAGATTTCAGAAGTAGTAAATCACAAGCGAAGAGATTGCTTATCTTTTGCTGGTGGATTCAAACCATTTATCTTTATGTTGGCAGTGCTGTTCAGAACCACTAAACCATCAGAGCTCCCTCTCTGATCAGCTAAAATACTATGTTGTTTCTGTCTGCTAAAAGATAAAAGTATACTTGGGGAAAAAATGTTCAGATAATTCTTGTCATGGCATGGAGCAAAGGAAGTATAAATGAGAAGGGCAGTTTGTCATTAGAAAAAGTTGAGTTGATGATTGCCTTTATTAACATGGTTAAGAAATGTACTTTATTGTTCTGTTCCTCCTTGTAGGTAAAACTAGATATAATTCCTGTTAATCTGCTGTTCTATTTCCTTGCAGGCCTGTAGTTCACATGTAGAACAGCCTTTCTAAGGAGAAGAGGGGTTCTGGCTTTATCAAATGATTTTTCTTAAAAATGAAACATTTACTGCATTGATATCCCCTTCCCTTTTTCTGTATAATTTATTTTGACCACTAGTTATGGTCTAAACAACTAATACAACAATTATTTAAATAATCTATTTTATCAATTGATTTACAGGTTCAGCTTCTGAACAGCATAGTATATTAAATAACCAAACATCTAACAACAGTGATAATGGGTAAGACATTGAGAATAACTGTAATTGTGAAAAATTTTGAGTTTGGATAGATTTTTCCTAAAAAAACTCACCCAAAACAATATCCAAAAAACCAAACCAAAAAACCCACCAAATTGTGTTGTAACCCTCAGTTTTCCATGTAGAGAGACAGTGATACAATTTGTCATTTCTTTGTTTCTTTTTTGTGCCTGTCCATGGGGTTTTCTTTTTCTTTTTTTAAATTTTATTTTATTATTTTGAGTGTGTATACTGTTAAATTGGATATGACTGGTATAGGAGGAGATTGTCCGGCTTCTCCAGCAGAGCAATCTGATGGGTTCAAACTGCATACCTCTGGGATTGCAGTGCAGCTTCTTCCCACTAGGGCACCAAAGCTCCCTAGAGGTTTTGCTTTTCTTAATGACTATGGACATTTTTTCCAGTACCCATTTATTCTACCCAATTCAGTTAAATTTTTTATTATTTGAAAATTCCATGAGTTGTTTCACTCTTATCTGCTTTGTGGGCATTTTGGTTGGCTTTGGTTTCTTTTTATTAAAAACTAAACACGTATGTATTCATTTGTGTATCTTTTTAGCATAAATTCATAACTGTGTATTCCTACCCTGCATTGCTAAGTTCTTTGAAGTGGTTGTGCATGTTTACATATATAGTAACAGTTTTTGAGGATGTTCCTTTCTACATACTCTTAGAAATACTAGATATTTTTTTAATATATATATATATAAATGTTTTGAATGGATTTAAAGATCCTTGTTCTATCTTTAAAGTAAAAGTAAAATGAATTTATTTGTCTTTGATATTACCAACAACCATTACCTAGGACAAACTTTAGTGACTGGTATGTAAGAATGAAAAATTTAAAACTTGCTCAAATGATAGTAAGTGATTTAATTTTTTGATTGCTGTAAATTAGCAAGTTTTTTAAAAGGTTATCTTCCCCCTTGAAATGTGATGTCTGTCAGTACTGTATAGGAAATGAGTTACTTCATTTCCTTTATTGGTTTGAAGTGATACGGATCTGTAATATTTTAATGTAATTTTTGGGCTTTGCTTGTTTTTAAGGGAAATACCACCAGATTCTTCTTGGCCTCAGTGCAATTCTCATTTGGAGATAAAAATACCAAAGGACTTAAAACTAAAGGAAGCAGAGAAAGCTGATGAAAAACAGTTGATCATAGTAAGTATATAGCTTCACTCACTTTTTTTTTAATTTAATAGAATTCTGTTGATTTGACTGGTAGAGTATTAATGTATTCCTTTTTTTTCCCCAAGATTTTTAAAAAAATAACAATAATCCTTGGAAATACTATTTGGAGTTCCTTTCTCCAAATTGAATTTATCCTGTAACAAATAATAAAAAACCCAGTCTTCATGCTTTTAGTTTCATTTAAAATGGATTATATTTACTTTTTATGGCTTTCTAGAGAATATAATTTTTGGCTGAGAAAACGGAAAATTTGACTGCAGGTTTACAAATCATACTGATTTTTCATTCAAAGATTTTTTTTTATAATTTAGATAATATCATTTAATTGCATTCTTCTTTCAGTAGTTAACTTCAATGCACGTATGAATCCCTTAACATCCATAATATGGTCCATAAAATAGGATATTTTATGCTTTGGATGTTGAATTAACAGTATTTTCAGACTTATCCAGACAGATGCATACTTTATTCAAATAAATTAAGCCTACTAAATCAGATGATTTTAAATATTTTTACTTTGTAATTTTAAATAAAAATGTTCATTTTTTATTTAAAGAATATAAAGCAGTAGTTAATTTGAAACAAAATAAGTATACTGTGGTGGTAGGATAGAAAAGAGAAAGATGCTCTGATTTTTAAAACTAAATGAGAGTTGTTGAGTCACTTCCAGCTGATGTAGAGGGACCCAGTGCGTAGCAGAACAAAACTGCTTCATCTTAGTGGCCATATGCTTGGTGTTGTGTTTGAACCCATTGCCACCGCCATTTTATCCATTCTTCTTACTGACAATTTTCCTTTTTTTTTCCTAAAGATAATGTAGAATTTAATTTATATGAATAAATATATGAAACACAATGCAGATAAAAGATTGCATAAAACACAATGTATATGAATGAAACAATGTAAAGTAATTATTGTATGAAAATCAATAAAAATATTTTTAAATCACACATACACATAGCAATATAGATGGATCATTTGTATAGATTTTTTTCTCCACAGATCAACTCTTTTCACACATTTTTTACACAACTGCATTGTAATCCCCAAACCAAACTCATTGGCACCAACCAAATTCTGACTCATAATGACCCTATGGAACAGTGCCATTTTTGGACAGGGTCTCTGAATCAAAATCCACTTGAAAGCAATAGACTTTATTTTTATCTTTATGAGTGCAGATTGTCATGTCTTTCTCATGGAAGGCAGCTGGTGAGTTGAAAGTCTGGACTTTTTTTTTTAAAATGTGATCAGCAGAATTGAGATATACTATAAATACGCATACCACATTTAAGAGACTAGACTCCGGGTGCACACTTTCAGGAACTTCTCCGTGTGGCGTTTGGTGCCTTCATCGGCCAGCATTACCCGACCTGGCTTGCTGTAAACTTTCAATGTAGCCCACTTCTCCAGGAATTACTGGCATCTCCTGATAACATACCCAAAGTATGTGAGAAAAATTTCGCCATCCTTTCTTCTGAAGAGCATTCTGACTGCACTTTGCCCAAGACACATTTGTTTCTGTGGTGGTGAACAAAAGTGGAAAAAAAGATCTTTAAATGGACATTTAGCATCATCTCTAAATATTTGTATCAACATATAAGTATCCAATGAGACATTGACCCCAATAAATCTAATTAAGTAATTGAGGCAAGTTTATGTGTGTCATCAAATTCAACCAGTAGTTGAAGGATCTGCTCTTAAATTTGAAGAGGTAGTATATTAAGGAGAAAATGACTTTTCAATTTAATTTCACTATAGAAAATCATATGGAAAATGAATTAACACCTTTTGGAGATGAAGATATGACCTTGGGTTCCTCAGAAGAGTCAACTGTTTCAGAAACTAAAAAAAGAAAACTTGAGAACAGAAAATGTTCTACAGAAAAACTTAGCTTGCCTCAGGATCACTTTCCTAAATCATTAGGTAATGCAACTCTCTCCCAAGACAGAAAAAGTCCACTTCGTGCAGCTAATAGTTCAGAGAACTTGGAATCAAACAAAAAACAGCCCTGTTTGACATTTGCCAAAGAGCACACAATGCCTCAAGATTTAAAGAAACTATTAGAAAATAAAGTTGTAGAAACTTTACCAGGTCTCCAACATGTAAATGTATTAACAGTCAAAAACATGTTACTGGGAAAGAACTCTCCTGAAGAGAATATCGTTTCAAAAAGCTTTTCTGCTCACTCTGATCTCATCACAGGTGGTTATGAAGGTGGTATAAAATTTGGGAATGTACCTCTTGGCTTATTTCACAAAGGCCAAAGTAAACTTTGGGAAAACAGTATTGGATCTTGGCTGTGGAGCAGGGTTGTTAGGTATAACTGCATTAAAGGGAGGGGCTAAAGAAATTCATTTTCAAGATTACAACAGTTTGGTGATTGATGAAGTAACCTTACCTAACGTAGTGGCTAACTCCACTTTAGGAGAAGAAGAAGAAAATGATACAAGTGAACCAGCTGTGAAAAGAGGCAGGAAGTCAAAATTAGCACAAGAACTACTTAAATGCCGGTTCTTTTCTGGTGAATGGTCTGAGTTCTGTGAACTTATACTAAGCAGTGAAAAACCTTTTGTAAAATATGATCTCATACTCACCTCAGAAACCATT